AGACAGTTGAGTTATTTTAACATCACAGTAACGATGGTAACCTAAATGTCCTTGCATTTAGTAACATATAACACGTAATATTTTAGACATATGTTTATGTCTCATTTACACTTTTTATTGTACTGCTCATCACTGCTCCGTGTTTACACATGCGTTAGAAATAACCGATCAATTAAAGGGAAACATATTTTTGAATGGAATGATTATGAATGTACTGCATATTTATATAAGTTAATGTCTTATATAACGCACATATTTACTGTTTTCTTTCATGTGGCCCAGTTCTGTGGCTGACGTCCTATTCTCTTACATATTTAATTGATTTGTTTTGTCTTTTTACTTAAAATGACTTTACAATTAATTGATTACTCGGAAGGGATAATTCACATTAATTAACATGAGACCTTGAGTACATCATGTGAATGTGCCAGATTTAGTCATACAGTTGTTTTCAACTTCATCTGCATTTGCTGGCAGATTGATGACGTCTAAGAAATCATTATAAGAAAACATAAGCACATAAGCACAGACAAAATAACAAAGTTGCTCTTATGTTTTCTGTAAATTTACTAATAATTTAATCTATTAATTGTTTCAGCTCTAACTGACTCTCCTCTCCTTCTTCATCCAGTCTATTATGTCCTATAATGGAGGGGCCGTCATGGCCATGCGGGGGAAGAACTGTGTGGCGATAGCAGCAGACCGGAGATTTGGCATTCAGGCTCAGATGGTCACCACAGACTTCCAGAAGATCTTCCCCATGGGCGAGAGGCTGTACATCGGGCTGGCTGGACTGGCCACTGATGTTCAGACAGTGTGAGTGTGTTTGACCTCCATGTTTTTCCCTCTTTCACCAGGCCGTGAAAACAGGTTTTCTGATTGTCTACGACAACTTTCTGATCTAATGCCTTGGTCTGGAGAAACTCTTAATTCAGAGAAAGTCTATCTTAATTTCAATACACACTGACAATATGTATCCCTGAGAATGACACAATGCTGTTTTATACTTACTCATTACTATTACTAACTATTTAGTGGGAACGGTAATGCTGTTAGTCACAGCTAGAAAGCACGTTAAATTTGCATCTGTGGATTGGTTTTGGGTTGTGTGAAGAGTGATGAACAGCCGTGGTGACGTGGTAACTGAAGTGTTTTGCCTTGTCTGTA